AGAATATAAAAGTGATGTAAGTAACCTAATTCTAATTTAGAAGTAAAAAACTATTTGGATGCTGATAAATCTGGCAGGTTTGTGAAAATGTATTTTTCTGCAAAAACATTGATTTTACATTAAAGAAAACTACAGGAACATAAAGTATATGTTTTGTACATGAGGTTCTAACCCTGTTTTTTTTTTTTTTTCAAATCACGTTGTGAGGTGTTGTGAGACTTCCTCTGAAAACCAGAAGACCAATACATTCCATGTCATTGTCTTTTATGTAAATGTGGTCTCGAGTGTTATTTAATACTTAATTATCTTCCTGTTGGAAACCAACGTTTGTCTGTATGATGCTGGAAAGATTACAGCGTCAGTCCACTCTCCTTGTCCCCATCTTTCTGATTTACGTCACTGTTCTTCTTTGTCTCCTCTTCCTCTCGTCTCTTCTGCTCTTTCTCCAGCTCCTCTTGTTCTTTGAGGTCAGCCTGCTTGAGTTTCTCCTCCACATCCTCAGGAATCTCCACCTCCATCAGGTTCTCCATCCCCTCCGCTGGTTCATCACCGATCAGCACCTGGATAGAAAGGATGAAGGCAAAAAAGAAATCCAGTTGAGCTCCAGGTGGAGGATTTCGCCATTTATCAATTTAACCCCTGGTTAATGACTTTTAATTACCTGGATGAATTTTTCACAGGTTGATATGACTTCGAGGTCCTCCTCCCACTTATGAAACTCTCTCATGATGAAATAGACATTTTTGTCTTTCATTATCTGCCGACCTACTTTGGTTGCTGTCAGCTGCATAAAAAGAAAACTAGTGATGAGTTTTTACATGAAAACCTGATTCTCTACAGTCTGTATCCATGAGTATTTGATGGGTTTGTACCAGTAAAAGTGTTTCCAGCAGCATCTTTCTAATATCTGGGTCCTCCTCTCTTGTCTTATCTTCTGGGAGGTACTGAAGGTCCACAGGCAGAGCTGAGCGTTACATACAGTACAGTCAGAACGGGAGGCAGAATTATGGAAGATGTCTACATCCAAATGCATCAAAGGCAAATCTCTGAACTGTCACTAAACATGCACATGGACAGAGCTAAGTCACTTTTAAAGAACATCTGACCAGAAGAAAAAACACTTCTGGAGATTTTTAATAAATGTCAACTGTGGTAGTCCATAAAGTGGACCAACGCAGCAATGCAGGGATTGGGAGCTGGAGTTCCACCACTGCAGATGCAGTATACAACAGGGATCACCAACTATATTTGTTGGTGGGCCAGAATTTTTCTGGACAGACTCCTTGGGGGTTGTACAATGAAATAAAAATCAAATTTGTCTAAAATGTATTATTTGATGCTTATTTCGGAATCCAGTTATGGGCCAGATTGGTCGGGTTGGTGGGACGGATTTGGTTCGTGGGCCGCCAGTTGATAATCTCTAATATATAAATAATGAACAGACAGTAAGAGTTTGTTGTTATTCTGACCTTCATTCTGTTCTTCTGACAGCTCCTCTGGACCGGCCAGTGGCAACAGGAGGAAGGGTAGAATGTCCACAGCATCGCTGAGCAACCAGTCATGATAAACTGGACAGAGAAGTCAGGACAAATTGATATGAGGATGTAGAGAAGTTTAATTGATGTTTTTTTTAACTAACTCAAACATGTGAGAAGAATTTTGGCTGATCTGTGCAAACATCTTTAACCAGGATACTGACTGACACGATCTGCTCCACTGGGTGAATGGATTTCATACAGATCTACTGCAGTACAGTCACTGGCTCAGTTTTTAAAATGCAGTGTTCAAAGCTAATTTATTTTTTTAATATATTTTTTAAACCATTTAAAGGTCATCGCTGACAGACTTCAGCATTTTTTTTTTATCTTCAAGTCTTGGGGTCATAAGTGAACATTTTCAAGCATGTTTTTCAGAGCATCCAAATACATTAACAGCTACATTAAAGCAATCAAATACTTTAAACAGTATTTCCTTCAGGAGGAAACGGTCACAATGTTCCTAATATTTGTTGAGCATATTTACTAACTCACTGTGGTCAAAACAACAGTTGTGCAGAGTTCCTATGGTGCCACCTCTTCTGATCACCGATGCCTGGTACTGAGTGAAGGGCAGCAACCGCTGGATGATACACCTGAAACACATGGAGGGTTTTAACCTGCTGATAAGAACAATACCTGAGATTCATCAGTTAATTTGTCACAGGCCCATTAAAGAAAATACATACTACAGCGAAATGTAACCCAGAGTTGTTCCTCAGACTGTGTGCAGTCAAGATAAAACAGATGAGTAAGGAAAATAAAGAGTAAATGGAAAAAAATCTAAAAGGCAGCCTACTTGTTTTGAATTTTCTGATCGACATTTACTTAAACTAAAAGTAAAACAGTTTAATGTGTTCTTAGCATTATGTTAAGCAGGTAGAACATTCCAGTATGAGCTTCACGTACGTAAATAACACTTACTGCTTTTTTCATTTTTTATTTCTCACAGTGGAAGTCAGTTTTTCAACACTCACCTGTCTTTGTCCATGATGAAACTTCTGGCCTCGGGCAGCTGCGTCAGGTTGGACAGCAGAAGACCAAGGTAGTGGAAGTTGGCCTTCTTGTTGTAACCTTCAGTACAGAACATCTCCACCACCTTGGCCAAGCCCACCTCCTCCTGCAGAGCCTGAAACCGCATAGAACAAGAGTTAAACATTACTACACAGAAATACTGCAAAAATGACATTTTTAAAACTGTGGTAGTATTACAGTTCTGTCCATAATGACGCTGTCTTTCAGGTTCTGTGGACATTTTTACAGAACTTGGAATTTAATGTTCCAATATTGTCCTGTACCAAATGCTAGTATTTTCATCTGTGGCGGATACAGAGTACAGTGAGCACCACCCAAACTACAGTGAGGACACCAAGCCTGAACACAGTTACAGTCAGTTTTACTTTCTTAACACAGGACAATGTTAATCCCCTGCCTGACTGGTGTGCAGCCATCTGTGGTGAGATGCATTATCAGGTCACTGGATCGGCAAGTTTTACAGGTACCGCTATTTGAGTGAGGAAGGGATCGGTGCATCCTGAGCACACAGAGGAGCAACTCTACTCTGAGACCCAGCCAGATGACAGAGCTTCTAACGGTTTCTAAAGGACAACCAGGACAAACTGTTGAAGGAAACTCATGTGGTGGGCTTTCATCTGTGACCTCATTCATGGCCAAAGGTCAGAACCAGCATCTGATCACTGTACAGTAGTTTATATTTGGAATAAATTAACAACTCTTTGCCTCTTTCTTTCACTTCATTATTAGATCAGATTACAGATAATAATGTTATTAATTCAGACACAAGAGACATTATTAGCACACCTGGAACACCGCCTTGCATGTTTTCTTGTGACGACTCAGGTTGGACAGAATGGTAGAGATCTGGTCGGAGAAGGGGAAATCTGGATCCACAATGTTCTTCAGTAAAACTGGGAGAATATTAACTTTTTCTACCAAAACCTGCGGAACACAGTCATGACCGTGTATTTGTTAGATGTTGGTCTTGAAAAAACTGAACACATGGCAGATTATTATCCAAAGATTCTGACATCACCAACCAAAAATTATATTTAATTCTTAAAAAAACTCACATTGTGAAGTTTTTCATCAGCTGACAGATTGATGATGACATGGTAACAGTCCTTCACTATAGCAATTGAAGGGTCAGATGTCAATGCAAACAGTGCAACCAGCAAGTCAGGTTTGGAGCGGAGAAACTGGCAACCGTCCCTGAGAACACAAAACACACACACACAATATTGACTTATGATGGCTACTTGGAGTTGGTAAGATATTATCAGTCTGAATAACTTAGTAACTGAATACTGAATAACACAGCTGTGTTGATCAATTAAAGCCTAAGATAAAATTAAAGTTGAAGATTTAGCAAATTAATAACAATAATAGGGTTTTACAATAATTAAAATGGGTGACTCTCAAACAGAGAGAACATGAGAGTTTTGCAGAAAATATTAGTCATGTCGTTTAAGTACAAATATTCTTATTTTCATACCTGTTTCCAGACAATCCGAGGATATACGTGGTGGCATGACCCTTGACATCTGGACGTGTGCTGGGGGTCAGGAAGGAGATTAGCTCAGCAGTCTTCGACTCACTCAACATCTTCTACCACAGTCTGATAAACATAAACAACACAGACGAGAACAAAAGATTTATTCACAACAGTTGGACAGAGCACGATTTAAGAGTTTGTTTGTGACAGTCAGTTACATACAGGAATCACTAGAACTAAGTTGTTCAGTATAGATTACACGACATGACACATCATCAAATGGGTCTGAATCTGCAGAAGTCTGTAGTCAGTTTAAAATGGACAGAAGAATGAATAGTTAGTTACCGTTTACAAGCTACAGGACGAAATTGCCTTTCATACCGCTGTTAAAGCGGAAAAAACACCGATAAACAAAACACAGTCCTGAACGTGGACAATCATAACACTCACATCTCACATGTGGTATCCGTGAATGTAGTTCCGGGTGAGTTGACTTTTCCTCTTCATTTACTTTCCATTTCTGGGCAGAAAAGTACTCTGTTAAATGACACTGCCCTCTAGTGACAGATGGATGGGAAGATTTGCCTTAAAGGTAGGTAAGTATTAAAATAACTATTTCCATTATTTTTGGTGTTTTGGGTTTTTTTTTTTTAGTTACACTAATTGTATATGATTTTTAGCCTATGACTAACACAGCTAACGTTTTTAATGGACTCATTTATTGGTTATACATAAACTAATCTTGAAAATGTCCGTCTGGAGGTTATGTTAGCAATCGTTTTGATTATAGTTGACTTAATCTGATATATTCTAATTAAAATTAAGACACTTCACCTTTAATAGCTTTTTGCCTATGTATCCCAGAGATTTACTTACTCTGGTGGTTATGTTAACTTCACCTGTCGCTTTGAGTTTTTTATTTTACTGAAGAAAAAATTTAACTTTGAACTGTATTTGCATTACTATAACAGATTTTGATGTTTTTTGTTATCTCTGGCTATTTTATGCATTTCGTGACAGCTTTTTTTTCTCAATTTCCTATTACACTTCAACTATTTATGGGTTGAGTTTCATATTACACTCCAGATAACCATTAGCTACCAACTCTGTCATGAATTCATAAATTAAACCCCTTTAAACTGTTAGAGAATTCATTAGTCATACCATAAACAGTAAATTACACCTGGAGGTGTTTGCCTAACCTAGGTGGTTAACTAAACTTTTCATATATCTATACATTTATGCAGCACACATCTTTAACTAAATATTTACAGAGCAGTCACAGAATTTGAGTCTGGAAGAAGAAGGCACTTTTTTTATATCTCTGATATATTTAAACCTCCAAACTACTTTATTGATATATTGAAAAAAAAAAAAAGACACACAAGACACTCACACAGCAACGACTCTCACTTACTCCACATGTTGCATTGAAATGCTGACATTGCATATAAATGTTCACAAATGTTGCCTGCACTGTAGGAACAGTGTTGACCTTCTGAGTAACAGTTCCACTTTGACCGAGTGACTCCAGACAACATTAGTCCCTTTTTCTTTTTTTTTCTTAAACTTTCAGCCAACAATGAACTGTTTTCTTCTCAATTCTGGGGGGAATCTTCTTGAAAGTGATTCTTTTTTCTAAACTCTCAGACAAACAGAAAATCATCTTGTCCATAGTCTTCACGTGAACAGACACGGGGCTGGACATCTGTCCAGGCTCTTCAGAAGGACACAGGTCAGGTCAAATGGATGTTCAAGAATTAAAAGAAAACATAGAGCACGTGTTTGTTGCAGACATTAGCGATACTTTGAAACAACTGTTAAAGAACAATAGTACAAATCAGCAACTTTATTTAGAGAACACTTCAACTTAGGTAAGTAGACAGCAAAGAGTGAAGAAATGATAGAGCGTTAGTTTGGTTTGTAAACAGATTTAAAGAAAAGAAAAAACAGCATCAAGAATTTCAGCACGAGCTGAGAAGGATCTGATCCCTGTCTGGAAATAAAATCTGATTTCCGGCCAAACAAACCTTCTCCAGATGAGAACAGGACAGAACTGATGGCAGCATTTCTCTGACACAGCATGGTTTTTTGTTTTTGCTGGTGATTATGGTTTGCAACAGTTAAGTAGCACAGTTGAGCTATGTAGGTAGTGATTGTAGTATTACTGTGTCTCACTTTAATAACGGAACTATGATGTTCAAGGCCACAAGAGGCGTATGAAGGCACTGTGGAGTTTGGTTGGCAGACAGAGACGTGGTGGCAGCTTCTCTCTGTTGGCTCAGGCCGGGGTTCATCATCAATCATCATTTTTAGCATCATCATCTTCGTCTTCATCCCTCCTACTTTTCACTCCGCCTTGTCTTTCCTCTTGGATGTGAACGGGACTTTACTGGCTACCGTTGAACCCACCGTGGAGACCCCCCCAGCCACGGCAGACATGCCCCCCTTCACCAGCCCCACTCCCATGGAGGGCACCGTGGTCACTGCAGATTTGGTGATTTCCAGGCTCTTCCCGCCGACCCAGGCCACTCCACCCACCGCAGCACCAACAACGCCCTTTGTGACATTGAAGAGGCCGCCGGTCATTCGCCACACCATGCCAGGGGGCGCCACCTCATGATCTTTGCCTGCGTCTGGAGAGACATGTGACAGACAAAGTATAAAGATTGATGTTACTTTCTCCATATTAAACTTTACACAGCTACACAAAATTGATTAAATCACAAAACTCACTTTTTATAACCTGTGACGCTGGGAAAACAACAGTTTAAAAGCCTTGACAATAGAACGAAAGCAGTGATTCTCTGCTCTGGATATAATGAAACATTGGCACATCGTGATCAATTCGTGACTTGAACACGGTTATAAAGAATCACAGCTGAAAAGACTGCAGCTGCAGCTGAACAGCAGCCCAGAAAAATGCACACTTAGTGTGACACAGGTGACATCTCTAAATGTCAGAGGCAGTGTCTCCAGAGCAGCTGAGTCTGCACACCCTGAGGAATTCACTATTCGCTGCTTTCACTGCCAGGAGACTTGACAACACTCTTGCCCGTGGTATTTGTTTTATTGTTAACAATGAAGGTGAATCCTATCAGTATCTTCCACATTATTTTCATGTTTTTCTAGAACAAAATGCCATATTTTTTCATGAACTTAAAGCTCCTGTTTATACTGTTTTGAGTGTGTTGTTGGTCTCTTATGTCGTCTTTGATGCCAAGTATTATCCCCATATAATTATTGTTTACTTGGTGCACATTGCGTTAGCCTTACGTAAGGATTCACTTTCAGACTCTGTTTGTTGGTGATTAAGATTTGGCAGAGTCAGTGGCTGACAAGGTCACAGCATAATCTGTGGTGAAGACCATAAATATTCATGCCAAGCTCATTTTGTACTGTGTCTACATGCGTGTGTCGAAACCAAGGCTGTAACATTCCCCACGCATCTGGTGGAAGATCAGGGTAAAGGGTTCAAGTTCCAAGGTTAAAATCTGTTTTCAGTACATCTCAGGCTGCTTTAAGCCTTTTCCAGGTGCCCCAGCAGAGGGAGCTGAAGAATCAGTTGGCCTATTTCCCTTCACCAGCAAAAGAAGACAATGCTACTAGCGTTTTTTTCCTTTTAGTACAAATGCTAATAATACATATTGGATGATGTACTTCATCATTATTTTGGTTTTTTTCAGTTCCAAGGAAAATCACAGTTAACTGCTTATCTTATTGAAAATTTGAGTGAACTGTTACCTGGCAAAACATATAAAAGTCGATAAAACAGGACATTTTTTAATTTACCATTAGGTAAATATATCAAAAGGATAAGGAATAGTAAAAAATTAGATAGTAATAGTTAAAACAATAAAATAATTGTTTGAAAATAGTTTTATCTATAAAGGTTGCAGAAAACATTTGAAGCACTGGTATAGGTGTAGATATGTGAGGATAGGGATATTTAAAATTATAAACAAGCAGGAAATCTGATCGACTAGTTTGGATATTGGACCAAAAATAACCAACCTCTCTAAAATGTTTCAAAATGGTAACGGCCACAGGTGTGTTATCTAACACAACGTTTGACCACGAGGCCCCAGGTGACAGAGCTCCAGACTCAATGTTGGAACAGAAAGGGGCAGATGTGTACTTTGCGGATATCTACTATCATACTGACTGTATTCTGCTCACTGGGATCAACTGCTGCCAAATATCAGTGTTGTGACACAATAACAGGTTAGAACTGCTGCTCCTGTTCTTACATAAACAAATGTGTTCCCCTGACAGACCGACAGTTACTAAAATTGGAGCAGGCAACAGCTTGCACCATATTCCCACTACTGATGTGCCAGCATTTGTAATCACAGAGGGGTGGATCCTACGTACCCTCTGTAGGCTGACTGTGGGAGGGTTCGGCTTCATCCGAGGCCATGGTGGTCCCAGGGAGGGGCTCAGAGCTAACACTGTTCACATTCTGAAAAAAAAACCAAACAAACACAAACACACACACACAGGAGAATAAACAAGACAAATTTAGAGTTCAAATTAGCAAATACTAAACAGGGGACAATTACTGTATATGTCGATGACAACCAACAGGACAACTGCTGTTAGAAAGGTTGAACTAAATGCAATATATATATTACATCTATACTTATTCTATCTTAATTTTACAAGGACGGACACAGGATAGTGGACGTGGTTAGCGCACTTGCCACATAGCAACACAAACAGTGTAGGTGTGGAGTTAATCGGGGGTAAACAACTACATTTTGATTCACGAATGTATCACTCCTTCAATGGAATTGGAATAAATGACTGTGACCAGAAACGATATTTACTGCTCTTATAAATCAGGTGTGAAGCTGGAACATTAGCCCAGTTTTCACTTGATTTATAATAAGAGACCTCACTACTTTTACTTAATGTGTACGGCACACAGTTTATCTTATGAAATGGCCAGACGTCCATGTTTTCCAGCCATAGCCTCACTGCACTTCTCTTCTAATGCAATGTTGGTAGTGCTGTCAGTGTGAGAGCTCAGCACTGCAGCTTGTTTGTCACCCAACATGTTCTGCATGAAAAAAAAAACTGGAGCAGACACACCCCACACAGCTGCGTGTGAATCTTTATGTGGCACAAAAGTTCACAAGTACTAATTAGATACAGTACAGACACATGCAGTTAAGTCTGCAGTTCTTATCTGGAGGGTCGTATGAGCAGCCCAGAATAATCCTGCTATCTGCACTGATATGAACGTTTCGACCAAAGTGCTTTTCTTGTTTTAAATATCCTCTCACAAGGTGATCCTTTAGAGAGGACGACGTGGTATTCTAGTCCACAAGTGATATGAAATCAACGTCCTTTCCATCAACATGACATCATCAACATTATACTGTTTCCAAGTTGGACAAACTTGCACAAGCAAGACAGGCCACTCTGGTGGCAGTTGTCGTACACTACTCTCCAACATGACTAACTGAAGTCAACATCAAACCACTAACTCTGCCTCAGCAGGGCCTCTTTCTGGTTCAACAGCTTTTAAAATGAACTAAATTTCATTGTCTCTTTATATATATCAATTATAATTCTTCAGTAAGAATAAACTCACAGAATGCAAAAAATATATAATCCATAGTTTTGGTTGCAAAGGGCTTTAATAAAATGAGTTTTACTCATAATTACTGAAAACATCAACAGTTCTTCTCTAACAAGACTCGATTTTAAGAAGGCTAGGATCACCGTCTTCGTGCGAGTGAATCACTGGCATTAGATCACACACCTGATCCCCAAGATCACCTGTGGAGGGGGCAGTATTCACACAACTCATTCACCTCTCAAACCCTCGCTTTAATTAATAATAATTAAAAAAAGAAAAGAAACAGTCATCTCAAAACTGATGACTGTTGTTTGCTAATGTTGTCAGATGACAAGAGCATCGAAAGTCAACGTGGACTCCAAATATACAAGGCTGCCTGACTTCTGTGTCTGACAAAGTTGTATCACAATGATCAACCAACTAAATACACAGGTTACTATTTTAACTGTTTTGTACCTTTAAATCAGAGATTTTTAATTGAACGTAAGTGTCAGTGTGAAGGGTTGACTGTCTGTATATGTGATGTGTTGGTGAGTTGTTCAAGTCCTATCCCATCTTTACTTCATTTCCACTGAAAACTAATATTATTTGGCAAATTATAATTGGCAGATAAGTGAATGAAGAATTTAAATGCTCTAGCTCTAAAAAAAGGGACCTCTTACTGAAGCTTGAGTTTGTTGTTAAATGGTAAGGTAGTGGTAATGTAACCTCTGAAGGCCACATCAGCATCCACATCACATAATCATATCATCCATGATGCCATTACCTCTTGAGACAGTTTTTTTTTTTTTTTTTTACAAAACTAAATCTAAAATACTTGATGAATAATGCATTTGGAAATAAAATAGCAGATTTAACATTGACTTCACATTAAAAAAGATACAGTGTTTTTAGGTCAACCAGTCATTAAATGACCTGTTAAGACCTGTGATTTTTGTTTACTTCCACGTCACCTTTTAGCATAAACCTGTTAACGTTTGCCTCTGTGTGAAACATTCTACAGAAATAAACATCTGTTTATTTAATACGCACTTTAATTGCGCTAACATAAATTCATAGCATATTAAACTAATTACTTAATCGAACAAAATACGACAATTCGAGAAAAAAAAAGTCTAAATTGAGTGGAGAAAGAAAAAAATGCAGATGTTAAAAAGGCAATCAAACACCAAATGCCTGTGGTTGTACAGTAAAAGTAGCTCCAAAGTTGTTACTAAACTGTTTGGATATTCGATTAAAACGTGAAAAGCCTGTATTACAATGTAGATATAACTGACTCGAAAATACGTCATACATTTTTTTAATTCCCTTTAACACCCAACACATCCAATTCAAGGTCAGAAGTTAGCAATGTTGACGTGGAAGTTAAACTTAACGTTTCCCACACTTTAAACTTTAAAACGAATATAGCCTTGTCATGCTAAAATAAAACTTAATAAAAACCCAAATCCTTGAGGCCATACTACTGATGAAGTAACAGGATGTACTACTGGAAATCCACATCATCATCCTGCTGTTAACCCCTGATAAACAATTTTAAAAATACGTCGTGTGTCTCAGCTGCCATTGAACTCCATCACCAACACACCACGGTTCACACCTATTAAAACGATAAAGGCTCTGACGCTGAGTTTTTACCTTCACCATTGTTCGCTGTCTCTCCTCCAAACACACCTGGTAAAGAAACTTGAGTCTGAGGCGGCTTCTGTTTCAGCCTCCGAGCCAAACTCTCTGCTGTCTTTTTTGTCGTTTTGTTTGTTTCTTTCTTCACAAAAACAAACGTTTTCCTGGGTGAGCGTTTGCAGCTCTCTCAGTCTTCTTAACTCTTAACGCATTTATCTGCAGCTTCCTGACTTTTCTTCACTCACAGTAAGAGCAGCAGACAAACGCAGCTCGCTTTTCTCTCTGACTCCGCTGTGCCGACGTGGCGAATTCAGCGTGTACATACACACGCACACGCAAGCACGCACGCACACACACATACATACCTAATAGACTTCCGCTAAAGCCTTCAAATTAAAAGTCTCATTATGTCACGCATTTTTCTAGATTTTTCTGAGTGCTGAGCAAACGTAAGATCAAAACTAACTGTATCAAGTGAAAATAAATCAAATAAATCTGCGTATTATTTTCCTGACCTTTAATGTTGATTTTTTCTGCAACTGTAATAAAAGCACAGAAAATTATTAATAAAAATGTACACCCCCATTATCTTATTATGCAAGTTGATTTGATGCATCAGTAAAATATGATCATGAAGGGAGGGATTGTGATCATGAAGATTTACAGGAGCCACAGGTTGCAGACCCTGGTCTAGGGAAAAAAGGCTTATGCTCCCTTGATTTGCATAGTTATGACAGCATCTGTTTTACAATAATCAAATGCTTTGATATGCAGATTATGATTGGATGTGAAGAGAGAAAAAACAGAGAAAACAGGTTAGAGAAAGGTGCGGTAGGATGAAGGCAATTTGCCATTGCACGTGATGGACAGCTGGATTATCACTGATTTCAGGTGCATTGAGACCAGTAGGTAGATACTAACTTATTGTTGTCACCAATGTCGTTACAATACATTTAACAATGAATCTTACTTATGCTCCACCCACTTTATTCTCGAAAAAACATAACATTATTTTACAATCTTAAATAAACATATTTATCACTTCCCCAATCGCAAACGCTATAGTTAAATGGGTTGATGCTGTGCTTTTATTGTGAAATAATAAAGTTTGTTCAGAGTGCTTCCGTCCTGCATCACCAGCAGTTAGAGTTCTATTAGTTTTGGGAACTGTTTGTTCCGTTTTACCTCTGTTTATATGAGCATTTACATAGATGACATAGATATCAACACATGTACACTATGAATCCTAACCCATTCCACCTCCTCGCCCAGATGGACAAAGTTGTAGAGGAGAATGTGTAGTTGGTTGAGTGTACAGCTGGGGTAGCATTGTTTTCAGATTCAATCCAAGTCTCAGTTAGAGCCAGGGTGTGCAGTGCCAGTGGTTAGCAGAAGTAGCAATGAAGTCTGGCCCAAACTGCAATAGCAGTTTCACCCCAAGGGTATCAGGTGTTTTAGGTGTTAGCAATTTGTCTGGAGCTCATTTTGTTTTACAAATCATGATAAAAAAATCACATCATATTGAGTTGAGTGTATCGTAACATCCATAGTTTTGACAGAGTCTCCTGCAATTGTTCTACAAAGTGATAAGTGTATGCAAAACAGGAAAATGTTGGCAAACGGTTAGGGAACTATAAAGGTAGCAAATAAATACTTATTAACTAAATTATGTCTGCAGTTAATTGAGTGTAATGATTAAGGTAAAGTCCCAGCAATACCAATATACATGTTAACATCATCATTTTATTTAATCATTTAAATACAATACCATTGTCAAAACAGACTTTTTTTTTTTACCAATTTCCTCTAGGTGGGAGTATTGCAGTAGTATCTCCGGAAGTGTCAGTTTGACTCAGGCATATCCTTGGTTGCATTGTTTGGGGTCCTCCTTGAAAGCGCCAGTCCCTCGGACTGTCTTAGCGAAATCAGCATCATATATAAAACTATAATAATTATAATAATATTTTTTGATAAGCGCCTGACCCCTACGCTGCTCAGAAATGAACCTAGAACTGCTCGGTAACTATCCAAAAAAGCTCGCTTTCTTTTTTCGTTGTATTTATCTGTGTATGTTTTGTATAGCTTTGTTAGCATAACATGTTCGCAAAAGCCGCTACGAGTTTCATTAAAAGTATAATTTATAAACATGTATCTGTTAAAATATTTTAAATAGTCGGAAACAATGATTACGTTAGCAACACAGAATATTTTTCAATGAATTGTAAGCAGCCAATGTGTTACAAGTTAGTAACGGTTGTACGTTGTCAAAGTTACATTAGCCGTCTGTTTAGATACAGTAGATAGGTAGATAGTACCTCGGAAGTTACCTTCGGGAAATTTAGGCTCCAGCACCAATACAGCACCAAAACAACAGTAAAAACACACAAATAGGTAAAATACAATTAAATACAAACATGAGTACAGTAGCACACTCGTCAGTGAAAATGGGAAAGCTGAACAGTGGCTGTTAGTAAATTAGTAGGTTAGTAGAAAGATAGTGTTAGTAGATTAGTAGGTAATTGTTATTGCCGTGTGTGGTGTTGTTGATGGCAATCTCAATTATTATATATTATTATTTATTATTATATTTAAATATTTATTATATATAAAACAGCTAACACACTTCTGTCAGGCGAGTTTGCCTTTGGGTTACATCTTCATTTACGTTAAAAGTGATTTGCAGTGTTTTAGTAACAGTAGAACTCGTTGCTCTTTTTTGTTCTTTGAAGACCTGAGCAGCAGAACGTTACCTGATGCCATTGTGTTACTTATTTACTCGTTTTTTAAAATAATATCTGTCTGTATCACATATTGAAATAGAGGTGAGGTATCAAAGTGTTGATACCCAAACATAGCAGTGCCACTTATAACCATGGCGGAATATAATATATTTCTGACTCTGTTTCCCTCATTGTAGAATCGTTTGGGCAGAATTACCCAGAGGTAAGCCAGCATATAATTTTTTTATTCTAATTGTATTATAATTATAATTTAGTCATGCATTGTTATAGTAGAAGTTGAACTCCTCTGGCCTTTGATTTTTTTTTTTTCATTTTGGTTTCTTGCATTATTAGGAGGCAGATGGCACCCTCGACTGTATCAGTATGGCCCTCACCTGCACCTTCAACCGCTGGGGCACTCTGCTGGCCGTTGGGTGCAATGATGGTCGCATTGTCATTTGGGATTTTCTAACACGGGGCATCGCCAAAATTATAAGCGCACATATTCACCCAGTCTGCTCTTTATGGTAAGACAATATGTTTGAATCTTCACTGCCATTTGAATATATAACTTTGCTTTACTTGCATAACAATTTTCTGTTTCACTGTTCCATACAGCTGGAGTCGTGATGGCCACAAACTAGTGAGTGCTTCCACAGACAACATCGTGTCACAGTGGGATGTTCTGACTGGAGACTGTGATCAGAGATTCCGCTTTCCCTCACCGATCCTGAAATTGCAGTGTCACCCCAGAGACATGTTAGTTGTTGGCCATCTGTACTCAATACAGCTTTGAAATTACTTAAATTTGTTTGTGTTGTCATTTTTGTTAGTCAGTAGTTACTGAATTAACTATATTTTTTAAAGTAATTGATAATGTCTTCATCATGGCTTTTAGGGACAAGGTTCTTGTATGTCCTATGAAGTCGGCACCAGTCCTGCTGACTCTGTCAGACTCCAAACATGTTGTTCTTCCTGTTGACGATGACTCAGACCTGAATGTTGTTGCAGCCTTTGACAGACGGGGCGAGTACATCTACACAGGGAATGCTAAAGGAAAGGTCAGTACATTATTGACACATTCAAAAACCTAGAAAAATTAATGGATTGAAATGTTTGAGCTTCAAATTCATTTGCAACTTTTTGATTTCTTTTGGCTTTTTTTAAGAGCTATTTATATTTCTAAATGACCTAATTTTCTACATAACTACCTAACATAACTATATATTTTTTGTGCGTTGTTGCAGATCCTCGTCTTGAACACAAACACCCAGGAATTGGTGGCATCATTCAGAGTGACCACTGGCACCAGTAACACCACTGCAATTAAATCCATTGAATTTGCTCGCAAGGGCAGGTAAGAGTCATCAGCGTGACTATTACAGCTTTCTGCCGTGTGTTTAACTATATTAAAAGTGTGAAATGGTTCCATATTACAGATTTACCTAAGAGTCATAAAAGGATCTACTAAAAAGTCTTATCTCAAGATTGTTCATTGTTTCACTATTTATTTAACTTTGACCTGTGGTATGCACCTCTGTCCTGTCTCCAATGCAGTTGCTTCCTCATAAACACAGCTGACCGCATCATCAGAGTGTATGATGGAAGGGAGATACTGACATGTGGCAGAGATGGTGAACCTGAACCAATGCAGAAACTACAGGATTTGGTCAACCGGTATTTTCTTACACAATGCTGATTTAAACTATAAGAACATTGAAACTCTTTTAAAAATGTTAAGAATTGATTTTATTTAATTAAAAAAGGTGTGTTTCTGCAAGCTCTTGCAAGTTTGAAGCTATTTCAGAACAATAAAAAATGTTTTTGTTGTAGTACCTGCATGTGTCTGCTTCTTATCCTTCTCCAGGACTCCATGGAAACGCTGCTGTTTTTCAGGGGATGGTGAGTACATTGTGGCAGGTTCAGCAAGGCAGCACGCCCTCTACATCTGGGAGAAGAGTATTGGCAACTTAGTAAAGATTCTCCATGGAACCAGAGGAGAGCTGCTTCTGGATGTTGCTGTAAGGAATCCACAACAAAACACACATTTTGACTTGTGATGTTAACAAGAAATAATTAAATTATTTTTTAACTTGACACCAGTGGCATCCTGTCAGACCAATTATTGCTTCGATCTCTAGTGGAGTGGTGTCTATCTGGGCACAGAACCAAGTGGTAGGTAATGGGTTTTGGGTAAAGAATTTTGGGCTGTTTCTGAACCAAAACTGACAACAGATAATGTGTGAATGTTTATCTGATAGGAAAACTGGAGTGCTTTTGCCCCAGACTTCAAAGAACTGGATGAAAACGTGGAGTATGAGGAGCGAGAGTCAGAGTTTGACATAGAGGATGAAGACAAGAGTGAACCCGAGCAGACAGGTAGCACACACACACACATAGACACACACGCACACATTAATTTAAAGACAAATGTCTCTGACTGCAGGTCACCCAACACGTCCTTCTGACAGATATTGCTGACCTCACTATGTCTTCATGTTGCAGGTGGTGATGCAGCAGAGGATGAAGAGGTGGATGTGACCACTGTAGACCCTATAGTTGCTTTTTGCAGCAGGTGAGAAGATGGGACAAAAATCAACATCATTGTTCCCTTCAGAACTTGTACTTTCCATTAAAACTTCCATGACCAGTGTAAATTGTTAGTTCTAAGCATTTTAACCTCAATTTATCTTGAAAGTGACTGAATTTTAAATAAACGTCTGTAAGTTCTTTTTTTCTAATTATCATTAAAATAATAGTAACATTAAATCCTAATTTTTTTGGCATATAGTGATGAAGAACTTGAAGACTACAAGGCACTGCTGTATCTGCCCATCGCCCCCGAAGTTGAAGATCCAGAGGAAAACCCATACGGCCCCCCACCTGACTCCTCCGTCCAGGCTTCTGGTCCAGATGATACCTTAGCTGGAGGTGACAGTAAGAAACAGCGGCAGCCTTCATCTGAGGGAGGCCCAGCTAAAAAGAAGGCTCGCACCACCACCATTGAATTGCAAGGGGTGCCCTGTGATGGTAAGATGCAAAGCCAAACAATGACAGTCACTAGAAAATCATCTCAAAATGTTCAATCACAATGTTTTGCCTCTGCCTCCCCTCAGAGGTGCACCCCCTGCTGGGCGTAAAAGGGGACGGCAAATCTAAGAAGAAGGCAGCAGGTCGCCCCAAAGGTTCCAAAGGTAAAGACAAAGACTTCCCCTTCAGGCCCAAGCCTTACAGGGGGGAACGGCCTACCTTCCCTGTGGAAGCCCTGGGCAGCTCTGGCCCAGGAGTTGGAGGAGGAGGAGGAGTGGGGATGAAGGGCAGGGCAGAGGGGGGCCTGGCTACAGGTAAGAATGCCTCCGCCCCAGATACTGCAGAGTCTGGGAGCTCTGCTAGTTCTGCTGCCCTGCTGAAACCTCAACTGCCAAATCTGTTGCCAAACTGTATGCCTCCCTCCCCCTTCCTGTACTGCTTCCACCTAACATCACTTCTCCAACCACACAGCTTAGAGACAGAAACTACACTTAAAGCCACAGCCTGTAGGTCCGAATAATAAATTCTGATATACTCAAATGAAGGACATAAACTGTTTGATAAATTATCAGAAAGATGCGGTTATTTACATTTGAGGCATTTAGTAGGGTTGAATTGTGTAGGATCATGAACATGTTTTGGTCAGTAACATGTGGAACTTACTGTATCTTACCAAAACTGTCTGAACATCTAAGAGAATACAATGAATGAAATTAATTTTTAACTATAAAAAAAATCCACACCAGAGTTTGTTTTAAAATCACTGGGAATCAATATCCCTGGACTCCACTTCTACTGAATCATTTATGCTTAGACCGTGGCTTTATGGCTGTACGACCTCTGCTAACCTTGGCTGCTCAGGCTGGATAATTGGTAGTCTTAGTTTTTGGTAAAGTCAGGCTGTGGTTGGTGAATGAGTGTTGACGTGGCTAACGGTGAGGTGGCACAGCTTGTCTCCTTGCAGGCTAGTCTACATTTACTTCCTGCTTGGCCTTTGACCCTCCTGCTCCCACTCCCACCTCCCTCCTTGGGCTTGCCATGTGACAAACGTTTTGTCTGCAGCAATGTTACTCAGGTTCCATCTTTTCTGTTTCTCTTGCTGTATGTTTGAGTGGGAAATGTACATGCAAATTTCAATCGATGTCTTTACTTGCCACTTTCACCGCTTCAGAAATGTTAAATTAACAGGTTTTAGTTAAGTTATAGTGTAGCATTTGTCAGATACTAATCTGCCTTCACTTGTTTTTTATACAGCATTTGCAGAGAGGATTATGCACCTGGCAATTTGCAATTGTCCTTTGCTTTGTATGCAAACTAGTATCAAGTGACATTTCCTTTCTCCATTTGACTAAAACATGTTCAGAAAGACGCATGTTTATCCAGTTCAAAGGTGTCTGATGAGAATTTATCAATTACTAGGGTGAACCTTTGCTCCGCTTCAAATCAAAAGTTTTATGTACTTATATCAGCCATCTACTGTATATGTTGCAGTTTGTTCTTAACTGTCATTATGTCCAGATATAGTTGTTTAATTGCATATACAGTAGTATAAATAAGTTAGAGAATTTACAAGAGAGAAAATGAGTTGACAAACCCTAAGTGGTGAGTATGATACTTTTGGTTTTCTCAAGACAGTGGTTGAATGGTATAAAACATAACTTAACAGCTGTTTCTTTGTTATTGTTTTGTCTCTAATTTTAGATGTCTTTGTTCAACAGTTTACAATACTCCAATCTAAGAAAGATATTGTGTAAGACACATGATGCCTCAGTCTGACTGTATTTTTGTTTATTCTGCAGGGAGCATGGTCTCACAGTCGTACAAACAGCATGACATTGGAGGGATGGACTGATGTCAGCGCTGGCGGCTTTAGACAAAGAGACATAAATCCTGATCTCATGTACAGACTGAAGGAGCAGCCTTCGTGGAGCACAGACTATTTCAGGGGGAAAGTCCTGAGCATGGATTACAAAGAAGAGCTGATAAAAAAAAAAAGAGCGCGACCCTTCACAGGATATATGACATGTCCCTGTCTTTGTAGAATTTGTGTAGGGTATGACTGAGTTTGATGTTGTGCGTGGATGTTTGGTTTCTTGTTTTTTATACTTATTAAAAGTGTTCTGATTTATAAGAGTAGCAGTGTGATGGATTTCTTGGTTAACTGTATGTATATGAAGAGCCCATATGGTTATATTATTATTATGGTTATATATTTAAGGCAATTTAGTTATAAAGGATTTTCACCATTGTTTTTAAGACAAAGTTATTATATTCAGTGTATTTTTCATGGGGTAAAACTGATTTTTTTTTACTTCAATTTCACACATTCAATATTTAATACCCTAATGATGTTCAACAAAATTCCATTGCATATGTTAAAGAGGATACATGTGCAATATTAAACTTCATGTATTGTCTAATACAGTGTAAATTGTAGTAGATAGTAAAAGATGTATAAATATTTTTGATTAGTTTAAAAATTAGAAAAAATGTCTTTAAGATTAGTTGCTTGCTTAAAGTGTGCAATTATGGACTTTAGATACATCTTTTTCAAAGTATTCAAAATATCCTGATGTTTCGGGATTAAATGTAAACTAAAAAATAAATAGGTTAATCGACTATAATCTTAGCACCACCTAACACAGTGAAGTATCCTAGTACGGGACCTTTATTTTGAAAGCCATGAACAGAAGTAGTATTTTGACAGGCAAATCGCGGATCCGGGGCCGGGCAGCAGCGGTACGGCGGAGAAGTATTTGTGAATTACGGACAGCTGGAGCAGTTGGGAGTTGTTATATGCCCGTCTACCGCCATAAACAGCTGTCTGTCACTTCGTCGGAGGTCTGTGGTCGTCGTTAGTGTAATGGAGGTGGACAAAATGGATGAAAACGACTGGAAGTATCACGGAGAGGGAAACAAGAGCTTGGTGGTCTCACACGTACAGGTGAGTCAGGCTAGGAAGCTAACACCGAGCTAATCCAGCCTAGGAGGAAAGTCTCGGTAATTTTCCCAACAGTACTCGAGCTTCCGCGCGGTGATATTGCTTTTCCAAACATTAACATTATGGTATGGAAATCCTGACTTTAGACTAAAACTTAAAAAGCAGAAGTTCATATTTTCCAGCTGTGGCTTTAGCTGTCTACAGTTTAACCGCTAGCTGCGAGCTAGAGTTTTTTTAAACGGTAGCCTATACAAGTTTATAACTGACATATAGAATAGTTTTAAATAAAGTCTACAGCCAATTGTGTTGTCATTTCATTTGTGTTTTTCTGTTATGAAATGACGAGCTTCTAAAAGTGTTACACGATGCGTCTAGTTTATATGTGCAGAGAAGAGCGAGACCATGGCGGTGTGATGAGATGTAGCAATAGTTGTCTTTCAGGCATGCTAAACCATACTGATTTAGACTTACTTGCCTTAACGCTCGCCTTCTATAGCAAAACGTTGCTATTCTTCCGTGGGAAAGTATTTTACGTAGTACCTGTATGATCATGTTATTATTGAGCAATCGGTGACCTAACAGGGAATGGCACCACTCGGTGTTGTAACGAAGACAATCGCCACTATTATGGTTATTCAGCACAAGTGAATGCAGTCGCAAGGATGATCAAATGCTGATTAGTGAGTCAATGTTGAGAATGAGATGTCGTAGTGTTTTGGGACCAGTTAGATTTAGTGCATTAGGGGGACGGTGAGAGATTTAGATAATATTACGGTTGTTTGTGTAGATTCTCAGTCATCCAGGTCATTTTATTTTAGAAAGTTCTGAAGTAGGCAACTGGACTGTCTGGTTTCTTGAAAATTACCTCTTATTCAAGTCACTTCTCAAGTTATAACTGACTGCTGGGAAATCTTGTTTTTCATCCCCTAAGTGACTGGACACCTGAATAGAGAGTTGTTGTGGTAAAACTGTTGTGTAGCCCAAACCCTCTAGGAACAGGAACTCACAGCCAGACTGTAGAGATCTGTGTACAATGGATGGTTGGTCTCTGATGGGTCAGAGGTCAGTCCTCAGTGTTTTTGACAGCCCTCAAAAACTGTTGAGAGCCAGCTCTTCAGGCAAGGACTCAATGGTTTTTCTGCATTTTGGTGACAAAGGGTATTCGTTGTACGGATGAGAATGTACGTATATGTTCCAGAGAAGAGAAACTGTTTGAAAGAGGAAAGGGAAAAAGCCAACTACATCAACCTTAAGCAAACCTTACCTTAAGACATCAGCATGTGGTCCTGAATTCTATGTAGCCCCCAGGCATACTGCTACCTATAGTACTAGGTGATACTAGTGTACTAGTGCAACCGCTGTTCAAATGCAGATATCTTCAATATGACAGAAATGACCGGTACAGTTCAAGAGAACTTTGTGAAACTAATCATTTAGTCCTTAATGAGTTTAACTGTAATAGTTTGTTGTATTAGTGCTGTTGTTCATTCAAGGTGGTAATAAAAAATATATGTAGTTATCAGACAACTGCAGGTGAATTACATTTGTTTCCTGTGACCAGACATGTTGTAACAAGGAAATGTTGTAAACAATGTATAATGCAGACGTTAACGTGTAATCCCAGCTTTGTGCAGACAAAGCGTTTTGATTCCAAATATGAATCCAATTATAAGTATTTGAGGGTTGTTGCGATGCCGTTGCCTTTTTAATTAGCAGTTTAATGCGATTTCAGCTGGATTTTCCCCTGGACTGTACTTTACATAGGAGCATAGAATTACAGCTTAAGACAAGTGATTTATTTGGAAGGAATTAAAGGGCTTCATCATTGTTCTTGCAGCTTTCAAGAGTTCTGCGTCTGCTCAAGTATCCAGCTGAGGACTCTGAAAACCCTCCACAAGTAAGTCGTGTGAATTTAAAATTAAGCCCTCAACTGTACTCCTGATCAGAAAGAAACTCTTAATACCAAACACATGACGCACACTGGGGACTAATGGGTGTTTGTTGAACAGATTACGTTTAGTACTGGGTGTTTGTTTTTAAAACAGGTTTATAATAGCGTACAGTAATTTCAAACGTCGCTCACTTGAACGGCCTGTCATTGGTCATTAACATTATCTACGTTAGCAGATGTGCAATATGAGCCATCAGCACTGGACACAAAAAAAAATGTTTTAAGTTAAAATTCCTTTTAAAATATCAAACCTTAGCATCATTTGAATCTGCCGTCCCTCTCTGAAGCATTTTAACAAAAATACATAAACTGTGCAATTTTCACATGATTCAGCTCTTGTTTTTCTAATTTGTGTTTAAGTAATTTTATATTTAATATATTGTATTATATTAACATACTGGAATTTTTTACAAATTCAATTTTCTTTTATTACATGTGTAATGTACAGCACATACAGTGAGTTTATCATATAGAGGTTGTCAGATCTGGTCTATACCTGTCTGTGTTTCTGTGGCATTCACAGCATTGAGATGCCATGAGTCCAAAACTAATTTCCAGCACTGAGAATGCAAGGTGTCTGTCACAACAGTGTGGTCTAAAACTATCTGTCAGCATTTGCCTTTTTGTAATACTGTAACTGATGGACATGTTGGGTGGAATGAGATGTTTAGAACCAGATTCATACATGTCACTGGGGAGGGAATTGTCAGTAAATTCTCTGACAAACGAACAGGTAATCCTCACTAAATATCCTGTTCCACCCACTCAGACATTAAGATTTCTCCTTCTGTTACTCACAGTGTGGGATCACGCCTCACCCACTCCCAGTTGTTTCACCAGTGACTTGGATGCAAGTGTCACTGTCCCTCCATCTCCCTTCAACTACAACAAACAAAAAATATGTTTGGAATTAACAGAATCAGACAACAGGCTTTATCTAACAAAGTAGGAACTCTTGACCCATCCATTTATTGACAGGTCAGCGTTATTACTTGACACACAGGTTTCGTGAGGTAACATTGCAAGTTGGCCTGTGGTCATAATTCAAAGTTCTGGGTGATTCCTAGAATAAAAGAAAAAAGAGCATCAGTCATTTCTCAGGATTGTTGATCATGTGAGATAATAGCGTTATGATGGCCGTCTTTAGCTACTGCTGCGCAAAACAGATCTTTATCTTCTCTTTAACTCACCTGGTCTCTTCCTGTTTGGTCTACAGACACCAGAGCAGGCGTTCAGGCAGCTCCAGAACATCGTTGACTTCTGCTCCAATGTAATGAGCAGACTGCTGGGAGAGGAGTTCATCCACAGTGGGGTAAGACACGGCTGTTTTTCATCAATGACTAGTGTTGTGTACAGTTCCTAAAACAGCACAGATTTAACCACAGGTGAAACTTTGTAGTGAGCTAGGATTAACCAACAATGACATATTGCCAGATTATGAACCAATAAGGTGTTTGTACAATTTGTAGTGTGAAAACACTTCACATATACAGACTGTCAGTTTAAAATACGGTAGGTTGAATTTCCTGAAACCATTTTTAGAACCCAAGAGCAGTATTTCAGCTGTTTCTACAACTATCCTTTACAATTATTGAAATACCTTTCTATTCACGACTTTTGGAGGGGGGCCTTTTGGACATGAACCAAGGTTTGAGTCACATGGTGTCAAACGTGAAGCCCTTTCCTCAGCTGAATGTCGTTGAGTTGCATTCATATGTCAGAGTCACAAGCTGCAGCATAAAAATACATCTCAGTAGCGTTCTGAACATGTGGTCTGGTGTGTGCAGTCATGGGACAAACATTACTGTAGTTCAAACCTGACATTTCTGTACAATCAGCACCATTATAATTAATAATTCATGTCAATGTCATAAACACAGATGTCTTTGTTCTAACTAACTGACCACATTTATATTGCTTTTTAAATGATAGTTTTAGCTACTTAGATTATAGACTTTATATTATTTAGTCCATAGATTTGTATTTGCCTCACTGTCTTTATTAAGTGTTAAATGTAGCAACAAATTGTTCGTGGGGAAATGCAATTCTGTCTGGCTGTGTGCTTGTATATGGCTGACAAGACAATAAAACCCACTTGAACTTAACATTTCTTCACAGGAGGTGGTCAAACTGCCTCTGGAGTTTGTACGACAGTTGTCAATCAAAGTTCAGCATCACAGACCAGGTAAGAAAAGTCTGATTTACACCTGTGAAGAAACATCTCCACACGTTACAAGTTGCAGTTTTCTGATATCTAGAGGGTGTGATTCCAGACGTAGTTGGAATAATGGCAAGTGTCAAGCAATTTAGTGGTGTTCAGGACTAGAAAAGTACAATGCAAGTACAAGCCATTTACCAGTATACCTCTGTATATAAGTAGTACAGTCATGATACAAAGGGTATCACAGTATTTCAGACATTATAGTAGTAACTAGTAATAAAAACATGTGCTTCGTTCCATCTGGATTGGTTAAAATGGTGCAGAATATAGTGAACATAAGACTTAACAGAACATCGTGTTTAGAGTTATCTTTTGTCACTGTCTTTATTAAGATTTAGATGTAGCAACAAATTCTGTCTTGCTGTGTAATTGTATGCAGCTGACAGGACAATAAAACCCACCTGAACTTGAACATTTGTCACAGGATGTGGTACATCTGAAAGCAAAAAGAATTCAAACATTTTTATCTTTATTATGAAAAATCTGAACTATGCACACATAAAAAATATCTTTTCCACTCCGTAACAGTTTTCTTTTCGTTTTAGTGTGGCGCTGTGACAAGGTGATGGACATCTACAGTGGCTGTGCTCTGTGTCTGCCCAACCTGACATCTCCACTTCTACACCAGCCAACACACACTCCTCCACTCTGCATTGAGATAAAGGTACATGTCCACGTTTCCTTTAGCTTTGGAAACATTTACTCACAAAACCATGCACAAAAACTCTGTTTAACTTTTCTCACTTCAGCTTTAAATTCATAATCTGACATGTTTTAGACATTTCTTTCCCCCATTGGAATGGATAAACACAGCTGTAGCTATGTGCAGCTGTGGATGTTGTCAATGTCGCCCATAAATACCGAGCTAAAACTGTGGATCTCATGAGCTGTCATGTTGTGTTTTTGTGTTGTTCTCAGCCCAAGTGTGGATTCCTGCCATCTTCCAAACTAGTCAGTAAAGAAGTCAAGACCAAAGTGTGTCGTTTCTGCATGCACCAACACTACAAGGTAAAACATGGTGCACCGAACATTAAGGTGTCTCCCTGGCATCTTTTAAAAATCATTTTAATGATATACTCCTCAAATTTAAGAAGAGGGAAAAGACCATAAAGCAGTGGTTCCCAAAGTGTGGGGCATGGGCTGTTGCTGAGTAAGACAGGGACAGTGTTTCAAACTTCAAGAAGTGTTTTTGTCAAAAAATGCTGGTCACTCACTGATCAACTAGCTCAGATTTTATTTAATACATTTTTATTTAAGTTTCATTTTATTTATCCTTATTTTACCAATATTTGAAATGTATTATCTGTAGTTTTATTGATTTACTGACTAATGTTTCTATTCAAGATGTGCTATCGATACAACTCTGCCTCTGAGTTCATTGCATATTTTTCTTGAAACTTAACATGAAGAAGTACCAGTGATAGAGCACTGCATTAGGGAGTGTACAAATGAAAGTACATGTATTGGTTTGTAAAAATGGTACGTATGGTGCCTTAAAAAGGTAAGGAGTTCTGGACTTGCAGTACAAACATGCTGTCAGCATGTTTGTACTGCAAGTCGACAACCAGTACATTGAGTGAATAAGAGCCAGCACTTGACCTGGACATGTCTAATGTGAGTTACATTTTCAAAGGCAGGCATGTGCACTTGTTTAAGTCAACGAATTCAATCTTCTACCTATAGAAACAGAATAGTTTAGAGGTCGGTGTTGTCTCCTTGTAAATGTCTTCTTAGTTTGTTGTTACTGTCTGATTGCAGGTGGCCAATGGAAAGTGGAAGAGACGCAGCCTATACTGTCCTCTGGACCTGTTCTCAGGGTAAGATAACAATAGCTGCTGCTGTTGTTGTTACTATAAACACTGCTGCATTAGGACGGTGTCACACGTAATGTTACCAAATGAGTCAAAGTAAACAGTAGCTGAAGTTAATCTGTCCTGCCACACATCAAACATCACTAATCCATTTTTGATTGACACCCATCCCCGCTCCTCATGATTTGACTGTTCTAACTGCTGAACTCCATGTTCTCTGTCTCCTTTGTGGTCCAGGAACAGACAGAGAATGCACTTTGCCATCAGACACCTCATAGAAGAACCACAAAACAACTTCAAAATTTTCAAGGTGAGGCACCAACATGGTTTATGGTCCTGTACATACTTTTGACATACAACTCCGTCAGCACCACAGTGAAATGTCACGAGCCAACATCTCAAACAAGTTCCAACTACATTCCTTGATAGCAGTATATCCTTCTCATGGAAAGTCTCTCCTTGACAAATACTGTAAAACCCAATCCTCATGTTGATAGATAAATATGTTCAACACAAACACGTCGTCCTGTAAGGATTGTGTTCATGATGCGGATACTGCCCTGTGTGTTTTCAGGGTGGTCAGTGTATTTACAGCAGTAAGGAGGGCAGTGATGACTCACCAGACCTGAATTCTCTCCTGCATCACCTCAGACCGTACGTCATGCATGGGAACAACAGAATCAACAGTCACATGACTGGCAAGGCTGTACTCAACGACTTCATCCAAGTAAAAAGACATCACTCAAATCAAATACACACAACTGTGGATCATGAATAAATAAAATACCCCATAATACCTTACTTGTACTATGGTTGTTTTAAAAGTATTTTACATACAGTTAATTAGTCAACAGATATTGACTAATGGTAAAAACCTTTACCCTTCAAATCTTTTCTTCCCTCTGATTTTTAAGGTTAATTTATTTACAATTTTCTGGAATTAAATCAACCTGATTTTTTACAGTAGCTGGATGTGATCATATTGTCTAAAAACACTTTTCTCTCTCCTCTCCTTCTGCAGGTTCTGGTCAACGCCCTGCTGAGCAGTAGAGGAGGAGACGCAGGAGTAGTGACAGACAGACGTGGAGAAGGGAGGAGCGCCTGTGAAGCCAGTCTATTTAACAAGGAGAGGATTCGCCATGGTCAGCACCTCCCTGACATGCAAACTGAGTCATTTTTGAGAAAGTTTGAGGATATAAAACGTTTTATAGAGTTCTGATCTGGAACTAATTACAAAATTGAGAATGTATGTGTGTGTCTGCAGGCTCACAGGGTTTACCCAGCAGCAGTGTTCTGTCCAGGATCCTCCAGACTCAGATGTTGGACACTTTGGACATTGAAGGCCTTTATCCTCTCTACCGACGAGTAGAGCAACATCTGCAGGAGTATCCCAAGGAGAGGTAGGAGTTAAACAGTGTCTGACTTCATGGTGTTGATCATCAAGTGTCTGATGTCATTTCCTGTCCGTGTCAGAACTCATCTACAGATGGACGGACCGTACGACGAAGCCTTCCTGGAGATGCTGCAGAAATGTCAGGCTGAAGATGATGGTTCTGTGGAGTACGCCGCTGCTAAAGTGAGATTTTTACCCTCAGTTTGAATATCTCTGTGATCTTCATTACTGAAAACATGTCTTGTCTCCAGGTTCATCAGTACTGTGTTGCCATGACAGCCAAGGACTGTTCCATCATGGTGTCCCTGGTTCCCTGTACTGAAGAGGAGGAGGAGGACGATGAAGGGTGAGCGCCTAACAACAATGAACGTATTTCAGCTTAACTAAAGAAAATGTTTTACATTCTGGTCACTGGAAATGTCAAACTACTGATATATTTAATCAGATTTAATAGGGCTGTGAAACATTTGAGTCACATTTATACTGTACTCTATAAAGGAAGTGAATCATGAAATTGACAATAAATACTGGTAACTTCTCTTGGATACGTTTCGAGTCGAGTCATTGGTTAAAGTTTTTACAAACTCATTCTGTAGTAACTATTTGGAATCACTAGGTGGAGCCAGACATCTCTTTTTAACATTCATTACCCGACCTTCTTCTCCATCTGCAGACTCTCTGGTCAGAGGTGGCTCAGAGACTTCCTTTCCTCCAGACCCCCTGCCTTTTCCCACTCAGTCTCCATCCTGGACCTGGATCCAAAGCCATTTGACAGCATCCCACGCCAGCTGCGCCTTGACCAGAAAATAGTTTCTTTCTACACAAAGACTGGTGGTTCCGTGCCAAAGGCCTCTTCGCTGCCAGTGCCCGGCATCTTCATGGCCGCAGAAAGAGAAGACTGCACACTCGTCTTCCACCCGGTGTGAAACACCAGGCTCACAAACCAGAGAGGAGAGATTCCATGAAGATTCCAGAGACCTGGAAGAACTCTGGGGCTGTTTTTTCACTGCAGCACTTTCTCCTTCACTATCATCTCATGATGTCAGGTATCACCGTCTCCTGCCTCTGGTTCCTGCCTGTTGGCTGATAGAAAGAAATTCTACAGGAATTTTCCCTTAGATAAAGAGTTTTTTTAAACATTCTGGAAAAAAAGAGGTTACTTGATTATAGAGTTTGAAGTCATGAGTCAGCCCATTATCTTGTCTGGGTTCAAATGAATCTCATCCTCTGCGTCATGGCTCTGACCTGTCACAGTTCATAATATAATCAAACGGAAACTATGAACTGTCACAATTAATCAGAAACCACTGTGACAGAAAACAGAAGTCACAACATCTTCCCTCATCTCCTCACTATAATCACCCCTCACATCATAAAGTGCTCTCCTTGTAAGTGATGTAGGAAGAGAAGCACAACACATATGTGACAAACACAGGCCAACATAAAAAAGTCACTGTGGCTTCATGGCAATGGAGTTTTATGAACAGGACTGATCATTGTTTGTTCACAAACAAGCCTTTGTTTAAAAAAAACAGCTTAGCAGCTGTCTGCTCACACTGGAAGATGTGCAACAGGAACATTTGTACGAGAGGACCTACACTTGTAATTAAGTCATAACCATGGAACACTGGCCATGTGGATGGGTTGAACAATGATATTAAATTTAGATTAAAACTTCCACTCCTTTGTGTCCTGGAAGTCCAAGTTGTACTGCAGTAACTGTAAAGGAGAACAGATTCATACAGTGACAGAATCAGAATACTGCTTATTTATCCCACATTAACAAAGGGGTTTTATTCCACTGATGGAAGATTACCGTGAGGAAAAGTGTGTTTACATGACATAGGAGAAAAAGTCAACTGTATTCTCAGTAAACAAGATGGCATATTTGTAATGCAAATGCAGTTTTTACTCCACTCACTTCTGGATATATTACCTCTCTGGACGTTAACATGGCATTAGCAGACACAAATTAGCCTTAAAAGTAATAGGCTGGAAGGAGGAATGTCTACATAGTTTTAGGATCAGCTGTAAATGCATTGACACAAGGTTAATGTGGAGGCCTGAGGAATATTTGTGAATATTTCCAGATGGGAGTGTTGCATCTATTTTCCCACTAAGAAAAATCTTTAACAACAACCTTGATCGTTTCCTGAGTCTGGTGGAGTTAGCTGTTTGTCTGTGTCAGAACCAGAACATGCTGGTGGAGTAAGAGGAGGAGGAGTCACGATGGGAGTTTTTGCCAGTCAAACAGTTAGCTTTCCAGTGATGTCAGAGACACTCACTCCTATGATGTAACTGCATCTACAGGTCCAGGCTTAAAACATTACTATGGACGTAAAAAAAAAAGTGTTTGTTAAATTTGTTTAAAAAACCCATTAAAAGACTAAATAATGTGCTTTGTTAACCAAGGAAATATTCAGAATACTTGATAATTATACTAATGATTAGTTTCAGCCCATGAAGAGATGAGGTGATGCATTTGAAGTAGTACTAGGGTGAAACCTCAGAGAACTGACGTCTTAAATAACTGTAACCAGCAGTGACGACTTCCACTGCGATGCTGCTTACAAGTGTCAACAAGTCAGTTTAACGTTTAATCTAGTCAACTCACGCTCCAGTCACACGTTTGTTTGTTAGTTTTCAGCTGATACAGTGGTGTTTGTTGTATTTACAGATTTAAATCCTTGACTTCACACACTCCGAACTGTGGCAACATAACGTTCAGCATTCAAATCTAAAGGCCAACATGTTCTAAATGCTGGGGCGATGATAATGTGCCACTTGTAACTTCGCCACTAGATGATGCTAAATCCTACAGAATTCACCTTTCAGTGGGGATCTCATTTTGCATGTGTCACTTCTCCTTAAAAAAAGAAAAGAAACATCAGTATTTCAACACATTGTTGCTCGTAGTTGCCAGTTTATCTCTAATGTTACAGATAGAAGAAACACTGATGTGATGTCATCGATGTCAAACTGTGTCACCCTCACCTGTTGTCTAATTTCTATGGTGATGTGGTCAAAGAGCGCCCCCTTTAGTTTTTTAAAGGTTACATATCAGGGCCATGGAATGGAACTGACTATAGTCATAAAGAGTGAAAGAGATTAAACAGGGGCAAGGGCTGCTGGGAAATGGTCAGCACTTCTCATCATCCTCACGCTGCTGCTCTGCTGGTTGTTGTGCCATAAGTGGCTTGTTGTGCGACCGTTGTTTTTGTCAATGTGCCTAAAAGTCCTGGTAGGACTGGAGTATGAGGGTGGTGGTGTGTGTGTGAATGTGTTAATGAAACTTACTTTGTAATAGGCTGTTTTCACACCTGAGATTATATTTTCGTTGGTTTCTCCAAGTTAGAATGACATCAACACAGATCTGGAGCTGCTGTAGACGCAGCCGTGGACTCTAGGTACCTCGGGTTTCTGACGAACCCGACCAGAGCTCCACCATGAGTTCAGGGCACTAGGGTGTTTTAGAGGATGGTGGAGTCACCTGTAGTTTGGACCTTAACAGCAGATTATTTGAACACACTGCTGGGTAAAGTTAAGGCTGGTCTAATCATTATAAATGCAGGTCACACTGTCATCAGACATCAACCATGTCAGGCTGATCCTGATTCGTTATCAGACCAGTGTCAGTTCTATCAACATAATCCTCCCAGCTGATGATTTAATAGGAGTTGGTGGAATTCACTCTTTGAAACATGTAGTTTTTTCTAAAATTATTATTTTTTTGGTGTTCAAACTGAAATAGAAAAATTGAAAAAAAAAATCTGTAGAAAAAATGTGTGGTGTTCAAACTGAAATTGAAGAAAAAAAAAATCTGTAGAAAAAATGTGATCTGAGAGGAATGAAGTAATACAGGTGAGAATGACAATGATTAGGTCATCGCTGTTAAAACAGCAAATGATGACATCACTACTGGTGACTTGACTGTTCTTTGAAACCAGAGGCGATCACTAGGGTTTTACACAAACTGATAAGACTTGATGTCAGTTCCTCTGCTTACGTTGTGCTCTCTCCAGACTCCATTGTCCCTTCTGTTCGACTGACCTCTGACCCGAGACCTTTGGATTTGCTGGGGAGAATTAAAGGCTGGAGAGCTGGAGAGCAGTGAACTGAACCAACCACTAACTGTTCCAAATGTTGACAGGAAGACGCCTCAGGCAGCACGGTGAGGCAGCAGAGGCTCATGGGAGTTGAAGGGAGAAGGCTGAGACTCGTGCACACAGTTTCAAATCTAAAACAAAAACAAAAAGGCAGTGACAGAGCTTTGATATTATTCTGTGTGACAGTTTTCACTCACTCTGAGTGTTAAATATTTTCTTGAACTACATTAAAACACTAAATGTAAAGTCACTTCCACCCTGTCCAAGCCTCTCTCCTATTGCTATAGTTAACACAAATTCTGTGCACTCAACATAAGGGGAAAAAAAACAATTTTTTTCCACACAAACAGAAGAAAAACATTTGCTAATGAGTGGAAATGTTGAGTATTGGAAAATATCATTGAGCTTGTGGCGCCTTGTTCTCTGCTTAAAGTCCTACTTTACTCACTTCAAACAAGCAGTTATCAATATCAATATTCTCAACTAAGCTGCTGCAATTTTGGGGGGGAAATGGACAGTGTTTCCATCTTGGTCAGAAGTTCTTCAGTCTAGAAATGACAGAAGAGACTGTAACAAAGAAAGTAACAATAGTATGAAAACTGTCCAAAGCAACGTGAAACTTATTTGTCCCAATGCCTCTGTCTCCCCCTGCTGCCTGAAGGCCGAAACTGCAGAAACATTACAGCATTGTGATGACTTACCTGCAAGTGTGCGTGCGTGTGTGTATGTGTATATATATGTATATATATATATATGTGTGTATGTATATATATATATATATATATATATATATATATTGTTGAAATAACTATTTGAAAAATACAAAGGTGAAACTGCTGTTTGGCATTTTGTATTTAAATTATTTATTTTTGTAGATTTTGACCAATGAGCTCTGCTGTTACAGTCGTCAAAGCACGCTCTTTCTATCAAATAAAAATTTCTAAGAGACTAAACCAACTCACTGTGACCCCAGGTCTGTGTTTTTTTGTGTGAGAGTTCATCGTGTTTCCACATTCAGATCAGAAAAAGAAGGGTTTGTTTATGTGTCCTCAGAGAGGCTGATCGCCCCGATGACAGACTCCACAGCAGCTTCAGGTCCCAGAATCCTCAGCAGGCTCTGGAAGGCCTCAGTAGTGCCACTAAGAGCTTGAGAGGGGAACAGCTGCAGTGCTGTGGCCGCCACTAAGAGAGGGGAACAGCTGCAGTGCTGTGGCAATGCGGAGAGAGATATTAAACTACAAGTCAAAAGTGATTAATTATAATAATGTAACTGAAGTACAGGTTTAGCCATATTGAACTTATGACTTCATATAACTTAAATGATACATGAACAAGTGAGTATATATTGTAAATTATATAAGAAATTGAACGTTTTTCATTAAACATATAAATGTTTTATAAACATTTGGAGTGTCCCTTAACCTCAGTTTTAGCCTGCCATGTCTCACCTCTCTCAGGGATCTTTGTCAGGAGGTCCATTTTTGATGTCACTTTACCCTCTTTGGAAACATCAACCAACCAGTGAATGAACATCACCAACCTAGGAATAAAGACAATGTTAACATTTTATTAGACTTGTGTGGATACAGAGCAGAAAAACTCTACGTTCAGATGAACTTTACCCAGGAAGTTGTGGATGACTCAGACTCATGACCTCTGACCTACAGCCTCCCGGTAGCGAAACGACAGATGGATATTTCTTCTATAGAAGAGAAAGAAAATCACATTAGAAAAGTCTGAAGAGTCAGGACTATTACCTTAACAAAAACATAAACACAGAAAATGATCACACATGTTAACCAGAAATAATAAAAGAAAATCTAATTTCTATAGTAAAACTTAAACACATGTTAACAATTCAGTAGAAATACCTTGACTATTTTTCATTCAGGTTTGTCTCATTTAGATTTTCCTTTTTACAATGTTATTTCCAAAACCAGTGATGCCATTCTAGTGAAATAAAACTTCTCCACGACTCAGTTTGGGTCCCAAGAAACTTCATAATCTTCAACAGGAACCACATGCATGTGAATGATAAATCTGCATACCTGCTGGAAACTGTGGTGGAACTAAAAAAAAAGCAAACAGCTGGGATCTGGATTCATTTAGTTTCCTCTAACACTGATTGTTTCACTCTGAGGAGCTGCTCTGCTTCATTAATCACTAGACATTTAATTTGCTGTGGTTTCAGCATCCGCAGGAAAAAAAGGAAAAATTCGTCACATTTTCGTCACGTTTTCCAGCTTGTCCGAAGCTACATCAGCCGGTCTGTAGGTGGCACTGCAACATCTGTTTGATCACCACAAATTAAAGCCAGCAGCTGTTCATCACAGCAATCAACGTAATAGTCAAGTGTGAAAGAGGAAAAGTCTTTTTAACGACTTTGAGTCACAGCAAGTGTTTAGTACTTTTATTTTTACCATCTGAACGTAAACAGCACTCAGACACTAACGTTTTCTACGACTTACAGTACGATGTGTATCTCTGACAGGTGAGGGAATTCCAGGGGCCTCATTTATCAAACCGTACGTAGAAACGTTAGTAAATTCTACATAATTCGCATGACATTTATCATGTGCGCAAGTACAAAAAAAACTGTATTTGTCAAACGTATTTACACCACACGTATGCAAACTAATGAGTGATGATAACTCCCACCTGTTCGTAGTTGCATTCAGAAATGCCTCCAATGGACAATAAATGATAGCAACAATCCCTTTAAGAAGACGGGAATGGATTGTTTCCATTCATTATAGATTGTTGAATACCGTCTCCCTCTATCTGAGTTTCACTGTTCTACCACTAGATTTTGTGCCAAAGTGCAAATTACGCTGCTGTGTGTATGCACGGTTGATAAATGAGGCCCCAGGTGAGTCAGCTGGAGTCATCTGCCTCTGCAGCTGTGTGTACTGTAGGTGTGTGTGTTTTGGTCCATCACTGAAGTAGTTTCTGAAGGTGTTAAAGACTTCAGAAACCACCACCTGTTTCTGCCTCTCTCTTTTAACCTAAAATGTTTTAGAACAAGATTGTGTTTCCCTTCCATTTAGATGTTAAAACATATTTTAATGACTTTCATTAAGACACTCCAGAGCAGTGTTTCTGGACTGTCCACAAATGATAACAGGACTAGGTATCTTCTAACAGCTGCGCTACTGCAGTGTTCCCCAAACTCTGCACAGATTTGACATTAGAAAAATTGGAAAAAATTAAAATATGAAACATAGGTTTCAATTTACTCAAAATGTTAGTTCCCGTTTAGTTGAACACATATCTAATATATATATATGTATACATACATATATATATATATATATATATATACACACACACATTATATATATATATATATTTACACATATTTTTTAAATTTAGGGATGTCGATTAATGTCAGTTAATCACAATAAAGATTAGTCAGTTGAACTGTGGTTAATCCAAGCATCAAAAAAAGTTTGTTTGGCACCTTCCTCTGTAAACATGGCTACACGTGAGGACAAAATTCAACTGCTACGTCATAAAACAACATTTGCCCCTGTGATAATGTTAGAATACGCTGTATGTGCTGCTTTTTCCTGCTAGGACTTAGATTTAAGGTGTAGTTCTCTCTGATTTTGTTTGCTAACACTGAGGTGAGACTTCAGAGTTTTCTGTGTGACCTCTGACTCCTTCGTTTGCTCTGAGACATTCCCGATACTTTCCCACTGAACTGAACAATGTGCTAACTTTAATAAATCACCTTAAACACAGCCCTTCTTCAATCTGCTCTGCCCCATGTGGATGTGTAACATTGTTGATATCCTGTAGCCTGTTGGCAGTGTCCTCTCAGAGACAGACAGAGAGACAGATGTCTGACCTTTCTCTCTCTCTCTCTCTCTCTCTTTTGCTCTCTCACTCTGTCTCTGCCTCAGCACAAATTCTGGCTTTTTTTTACAGGAACTATTAGCCAGCACTGATCGACACGAGTCTTACACTCAAACACACCCACACTTGCAAGTATCATCACATCGCTACACACACGCACACAAACACACACACACACAAGGTTCTGGATCTCCTGCAGTACCAGAGGACGGAAGAAGGTGGAAGAATTTTGGCCTCGAGTCCTGCAGCCGCCTTCAAACCACTGGTAACGTAGAGTTAATGTCTGTCTCCGATGCTGTCCTCACCCTCTATCCTCACGTTCTCCTTCTCCCTCTGTCCATCCTCACCTCCTCCCCTTTCTCTCTCCCTCCCTCCTCCCCCGTCTGTCTCTGTCCTCACCCTCTCTTTTGTGATTTGGTGACAGTTTTTTTCAGTCACTGCAGACAATCGTCTGCCGCAGCTCCAACATAAAGACGACAAGAAACTATTTAACACTTTTAGTTCTCTGTTTTGAACCGACGGAAACTGACTTTAGCACACGACAGAAAACGGAAGACTTGATGCATTACATAACAAGATGTCCTACTTTTGGGAAACTGAAGAGAGAAAAAAAACCTGGCAGATCGATGTGTTTAGATACTTCTAGAACAGGAACACAGAAATCTGACAGCAGCTAGCAGCGAAAAACGTTTAGCATTAAACCAGTCTTGCTTTCATTAATACACACACATGAATGTTTGTGTTATTTTTATCTTCCACTGTTTCCCCTGGAAGTCTCTCCGTCTGAGCCTGATCATCCAGAGACTGGAGACCTGAATATTTTCCACTTCTATTCCCTCCCTCCTGTTTTCTTTCCTCTGTCTCAACACACAAGGATTTCTCCCTCTCTCTCTCCCTCTCTTTAAAAGCTGATTTCCAATTGGTTGTTGGTGAATTTGAGAAGGTCTGGTTTGAGAGAGTTGGTTTAGGTCTACAGAACTCCAAAAAATCTTTTGAAAGATGTGTAAAAACTGTAGGAAACAAAAAGAAAATCAATACAAGCTGTAAAAAATAATAACATGATGATGAACTGTTAGAATCAGAACAGAATTCCACCATCGAACAGTAATGTTCTGACCATAGACTGTAAGTAAGAGCAAAACAAACAGTCTCATCTTCTACAGCAGGGGTTCCCAAAGTGTGGGGCTGACAATAGTTCCATCAACAACAACAACAAAAAAGACTATATTATTTTCTTTCTTAAGTGTTTTTGTTGTTGTCTGGATTAGATTGGATTCAAGGTATAAATTTGACAAAAACAAGAGTGAATATGACAGAGAGGGAGAACAGATGACAACCTTCACTGCTGTGGCCATTATAGTAACATCATCGAACAAAGACAACATGTAATAATAACAATAGATATTTAAATGTCTAAAAGGATATAAAAGGACTATAAAAGTTATGTTCCTCTTACAAACATACCAAAAGTAAGGACAAATGTGGCCACTGGAGGGCAGGATTTAGGTTACACAATACATATATCTGCACAATATATCTTTAATAGAGTGTCTGTCTATATAAAATACATACATTAAACTCAATCAGTCAAAGTGCTGTGATTTAAAACACAGTTTAAATTATGGGCCAAACAGGATTAGTATTTATGGGACAGTTTAGTGAACTTCAGTCTATTTTATTTTCCCTGAAGAAAATAAATACATTTATTTTAAGAAAACCATTTGCATGGTTAAAAGGGACTTGGACTTGTGTTTGGTCTACAGCAGGGGCCACCAACCTTTAAAAAGGGACTTGGACTTGTGTTTGACATATATGGTCTACAGCAGGGGCCACCAACCTTTTTGTTACAGAGAGCTACTTGTTTAATACAGACTTCCCGAACAATGTCATAATAATCAGTTCTGGGACATATAATGCTAGACACTCTTCTTACCATCGTCATTGCACCCATTTGAATATCATTACAGGTGGAACTGGTTCAAAAAGCACAGTAACAGTACAATTGTTGACCCTCTTGTTGACTAGTTTGATTTTAGAACATAGCCTGCGGACACCTTAGGTAGTCCATGGGAGCTACCAGGTGACCCCGGGCACCTTGTTGGTGACCCCTGGTCTACAGGATAGTTACCTGGTTGATTGACAGTAACTGAAGTGACATGACAACAGCTTACTGTTCTATAGTAGTTGCACAACTATGGGAAATCCATTACTGTTACTGAGGTTGATACAAAGAAGCAGTGCCATCCACTCTATTCAGAGGAGGACAAACTATCAGGTGTGTATGTGTGTATGTGTGTGTGTGTTAGCGTCACATCCCTGTTTTAATAATGACAGGCCTGCTGGGTATAGCCCAGTTATTAGACACACACACAAATGCACAAAACCAGCCATTATGCCCCCAGCAGTGGTATATGAAGACAGGCAGCAGCATCTACAGCTCCTTCTGTTGAAGAAGCAGCTGCAGGTTAAATTCCCTCCTTGTGTTTTCTATTTTCCAGCCTGATCTTTGGATATAGTAATCTCTGATCAACGTGTTGGACTTTGACTTAAAAGCATTGGTTCAGATGAATATATTTGATTCCAACTGATCTGCTCTTCCCTGCAGGGATGAGGTGGTGGCTGGTAGTGGCCACTCTGTGGCTTCTAGTGGCCATCAACATCGCAGACTCCCAAGCCAAGGGCAAACTTCGCAACCAAGACGGTGAGAAAAGGAGGGAGGGAGCGAAAAGGAAGAAGGAAGGAAGAGGTAAGAGTTGCACTTCTGCTCCTTCCTAACATGTTATTCTAGCACATCAAATCTGCTGTGGACATATACATGCCCATGTGTTGCAGGACATTTACAGAACAAGACAGGACGGTCTAAACCTCTGAAGATCAGGCTGGTCCCTGGTCCTAATGTTCCCATTGAAGCCCCGGTTGACCAAGGAAACAGTGCGTCCTCGAAGCCACACAACAATCTTCAAGAAAAACACTCGACCTACAACATCATCCCAGGTCAGTCCAAATGAACTGAGATCAGTGAAACCAGTCACTCAGCTGTAGACAAACCAAACCTGTGCTTTAAAGACAGTGTTCAAGAAGAACTGTCCTTTTGTAATGTTTTAAGTTTTTTTATGTGCGTTAAATGAGCAGTCAGGACAGAGGAGCTCCACTCTGAGATTTTGCCTCCTTCACAGAGTCAGTGAAACTACTTGTTATTGCAGTTCGGTAATTTAATGTCAAATCATCACATTCCATTGTGAACAGAAGGGAAAATCATCTGAGGGAAGAGAGCTGGTCAGAAAATTGGTCCTAAAAACCCCTTACACAAAGATGAGGATGCAGACTCCAAACAAAAGCAACGTGGAAACTTTTAACATGGAAACAATACAGGCAGAATTAGGCAACGTGTGGTGAAGGTCCGTGTTAATGTTACCTGTTTGTTTCTGTTTTGATTGTGGCTTAAATCAGGGGACCAAATCTGCTCCCAGTTGAAACGTTCTCATGACAAACTGAGCTGCAATGTCACAACAACCAACCTCCTCAGGTTTCATTTAACAGAAACAGAACTTTACTGATGTGGGACATTTACAGAAATGCAGGATTTTGGACAGAAATAATCGATGGTTTTATGAAAAAAGAAAAAGGAAAATCATGAGTCACCATGGTTACCATTCAACTTTGTATATTTTACAGCGTCCAATGGTCCAGACAAATTCTCCGACAGTAAGACTAGCTGTGCTAGCTCAAAGCTAACCTAGCATTAACCTAAGAACAATAAACAAAAAAGAAAAAACAAAATTTACTCGTCTTGAGCATAAATAATTACTTATAATTAGATAAGCGAGTCGACAGGACAGGACAATTGTCTAGCTACTTTAGTTTTTGACAGTATTTCAACCTTTACCAGAGTCACAAATAAAAATCTAACTTAAGCTGGGGCTCACAGTGCCACCACATTTTTTGTCAAGGATCCTAATTATTCATATAAAACCCCACAATTGACTAAATAATGAAATGCAAGAGCAGTGACAGCTGGGTGATGTCTTAAAGGAAGGGGTGGAAAAGCTCTAAAGCACGGGTGCTGAGGAGATGACAGGGTGACAGTCCCACCGGAGACGACAAAGATAATAGAGAGACGGTGTTTAGGAGAAATAACCTGAGCCTCCTTAAGTACCTGTGCTATAGACCTGACAAAGAGCATAGCCATTAGGAAGGATAGATGACAGACAGGACAGACCTCAACTACACACACACACAGCCCCTCTCTGTTGTATCATAGTGGTTAGGAGTCTTTCCTACTGACTCACTGCCCATCACTGCCCCGTCCCGTCCGTCCCTGGTTGGGTGTTGAAAGATGAGGTTAATTCAAAAGGAGGCGTGAGAACTACAAAACACTGCTTTGTCTGTTTCTGATGGTAAAGTACAAGCTTTAAATTTGACGTCGACCTACACAGTCATTACAGCAGCAGGGACTGTTGTTGCTGCTGCTGCTGATAAGGATGACAAAGGAGGATGTGAGGTCTGACCTTCAGGATGTATGTTTGCTGTACGTTTGCTTTGTTCCTGACTCAAACATCCCCACCCGCTGTGCTCAGGGCGTCCAATAGATCTGGTGTTAAACTCGTCGACAGCTGTTTCCAGACGAGGAAAGTCAACACATTCATGTGACGACTTGCAGGTGGGAGTAAGAACAAGTTAGGTAATTTTCCGCTGCACAGCTGTGGATGTAGTTTTCACAAAAACATGAAGTAATGAAAGCACTCCTTGGAGCTGCTAAATAATTATGTTAACAGGGTGGGTGTGTCTGGTGTCTTTGAACGTTCAAGGTACAAAAACACTCAGCCTTAGGGTCAGAGGGAATTAGGAAAAGGAAACAATCAACTTGACAGTTACATTCAAGTCATGCCCCATTTATATAAAATTAGACTAAAATGCACTTACAAGACGTTTAAAACGATCCCTTTTAAACATCGTGTTCTTCTTTTTTTCCATCTGACATTTAATTCACTCACATTTGTCTTTCTGCTTGTTGTGTCTTGTTAAAAAACATTCAGAGTACAGCCTGCTCGCCTATCACAGGGCCCCAAACTGAGACAAACAATTTAACCTAACTGAACATTTTTAGACTGTGGAAGAGGAATTAAATACCCGCCTAAGGCCATGCGACCTGAAACAAAGGTTTTACATGAGAAACTTTGGACCTCATACATCATCAGCACCCACAAGGCCTAAAACGCAGACCAAAGACTTGCAAATACTGTATGATGGCAGACAACCAAACAGCTAAGCTAAATGTTTGATGTCATTCCAGGTAAGCAGGGCCACTGTGTGTACCGGGGTATAACCCTGTTCGACCAGGCCGTGTGGTCTCCAAAGCCCTGTGTGACCTGTCTGTGCACCAGAGGGCGAGTGGTTTGTGATGAGGTCACATGTCCCGTCGTGTCCTGTCACTTCCCTTTTATTCCTTCTGGGGAGTGCTGCCTTGTCTGCATGGAGCCAGGTAGAAATTCGCCATGTGATGGTGTGT